CAGCACGACCACGCCCCAGCACAACCACCCCCCAGCACGACCACCCCCCCAGCACGACCACCCCCAGCACGACCACCCCCCAGCACGACCACACCCCAGCACGACCACTCCCCAGCACGACCACACCGCCTTGGTTGAGTGGTTGCCTGTCGTCGTGGAATGTTTCGTGGGGTGTCTCGTGGAATGTTTCGCGGGGTGTCTCCTGGAATGTTTCGTGAGGTGTCTCGCGGAATGTTTCGTGAGGTGTCTCGTGGGATGTTTCGTGAGGTGTCTCGTGGGATGTTTCGTGAGGTGTTGCCCCGTTGGGTATCGTGAAAACGTGCCCATGCTCCACATGTCTATATCCCTTTCCGGGTTCGTGGGTCCATCATGTTTTTCACATGGCGCCTGGCGTGCTACATGCCTGGCGGTTGTTGGTCAATTTCTGCGGAACGCCCCAAGGGGCTTCAGTCGAACGCAATATGGGACGCCGACCCCACACGAAGCGCCCCAAGCACCCCTATGGCCCAATCATGCTGAAGCATGAGCGCACAGCTGAAAGATGGGGCACGGAATGGAAGATGCACGAAGGTGCAAAAATGAAAGAGTGGGTTCCGTTCGTCGCAAACGATGCATACTAAGAACCACGTACCCCTTGAACCCCTCCCCTAAAGGCCCCCAGGAAGTCCCCAAGAGCCCCAGGAGGGCCTCAAGAGGCATCCTCTTTTTCCCGGAAAGGGCGTGGGCCCAGGGTTCTCTTTTAGTAGGTAAACCTGTCCCCCGGTGCCAACTTGAGGGAGGCCGGCGAATTTTTTCCCTGATAAATAACGAGGTCGAAGGAGGCCGGCGAATTAAAATTTGAGGATGTCTCGAGCGAAACGCTTGTTTTTCAGAATTTATTGAGGATGTCTCGAGCGAAACGCTGGTTTTGCAGAGTTGAGGATGTCTCGAGCGAAACGCTTGTTTCAGAATTTGCTGAGGATGTCTCAAGCGAAACGCTGGTTTTGCGAGCGACCCGACGCGAAAAGCGGAGCGAAACGCGCGAAGGAATTTCAGAATTTGCTGAGGATGTCTCAAGCGAAACGCTGGTTTTGCAGAGCCGACCGCGACGCGGAAAAGCGCCCCGCGCGAAGGAATTTCGATGATGTCTCGACTAATTCGTTTGTTTTTGTACGATTTCCTGGAATTTTGGCAGGATGTCTCGAGCGAAATGCACGACCCCACCCTAGCACGACCATACCCCAGCACGACCACACCCCAGCACGACCAGACCCCAGCACGACCCCACCCCAGCACGACCCCACCCCAGCACGACCATACCCCAGCACGACCACACCCCAGCACGACCCGACCGCAGCACGAGCACGCCCCAGCAAGACCACACCCCAGCACGACCACACCCCAGCACGACCTCACCACAGCACGACCACACCCCAGCACGACCACGCCCCAGCACGACCCCGCCCCAGCACGACCACGCCCCAGCACGACCACGCCCCAGCACGACCACCCCCCAGCACGACCACACCCCAGCACGACCACACCCCAGCACGACCACACCCCAGCACGACCACACCCAGCACGACCACACCCCAGCACGACCACACCCCAGCACGACCACACCCCAGCACCAGCACGACCACACCCCAGCACAACCCGATCGATAAATCACATGGTGCGGACCACCCCAGCACGACCACACGCCAGCACGACCCCACCCCAGCACGACCCCACCCCAGCACGACCACGCCCCAGCACGACCACACCCCAGCACGACCACACGCCAGCACGACCCCACCCCAGCACGACCCCACCCCAGCACGACCCCACCCTAGCACGACCACACCCCAGCACGACCACACCCCAGAACGACCACACCCCAGCACGACCCCACCCAAGCACGACCCCACCCCAGCACGACCACACCCCAGCACGACCACACCCCAGCAGGACCCACCCCAGCACGACCCCACCCCAGCAACGACCCCAGCACGACCCACAGCACGACACACACCCCAGCACGCACACCCCAGCACGACCACCCCAGCACGACCTCACCACAGCACGACCACACCCCAGCACGACCACGCCCCAGCACGACCACGCCCCAGCACGACCACGCCCCAGCACGACCACCCCCCAGCACGACCACCCCCCCAGCACGACCACCCCCCAGCACGACCACCCCCCAGCACGACCACACCCCAGCACGACCACTCCCCAGCACGACCACACCGCCTTGGTTGAGTGGTTGCCTGTCGTCGTGGAATGTTTCGTGGGGTGTCTCGTGGAATGTTTCGCGGGGTGTCTCGTGGAATGTTTCGTGAGGTGTCTCGTGGAATGTTTCGTGAGGTGTCTCGTGGGATGTTTCGTGAAGTGTCTCGTGGGATGTTTCGTGAGGTGTTGCCCAGTTGGGTATCGTGAAAACGTGTCCATGCTCCACATGTCTATATCCCTTTCCGGGTTCGTGGGTCCATCATGTTTCGTTGTTCCGCCTTCTCCTCCCTCTTCTCCTCCCTCCGATTCCTCTCCCCAGTGTTCCCCCAAGGGGTTCCACAACGGCTGGCGGGAACTTGTAGTCCAATAGCTTGGCTTGAATACGGCCCAATAGTCGACCGCGTGGGAGTTTCCAAAAAGCAGGGGGCGGCACTGATTCAACGTAGGCATCTTCGATACCCAGATGTACATTAGTATACACGTATCTCGACTTATAAAGTATAAATACAGTTGGTTATGTATTATGTAAATGCTACAGTCTCTCTCTCTCTCTATCTCTCTCTGTCTCTCTCTCTCTCGTTCACTCTCTCGTTCTCTCTCTCTCTCTACATATGTCCCTATTGCTCCGTGACGCTTCCTCTTTCCATTGCTGTCTCCCCTCTTCTGAAATTCATCCCTCCCGATTCTCGACACCATTGCGAAAGCTCAACGCACCGATGTCCGTCCTGAACGCTGCCAACCAGGTCTGTGAGGACGTGACCAGCCTGCTTGAAGAGACCGTCGAACTCCTTATCGTGAGCGATGCCGGGAGCCTGAGCGCCCAGACAGCGGCGCGGCGTCAAGGATGGCAGCCCCACCGACATCTTCCTCCTCCTCTTCATCTTCCCCCTCCTCCTTATCCTCATCTTCCTCCTCCTTCTCCTCCTCCTCATCCTCCTCCTCCTCCTCCTCCTTCTCCGCCTCCTCCCCCCCTTCGTCCTCCGCCGCATGTTCCGCCTCTTCCTCCTCGTTATCCTCCTCCTCCGCCTCGTCCTCCTCCTCGTCCTCCCCATCCCCCTTCGTTTCGTCTCATTCGTAGTCCCAGTATTAAGATCATTGAATGGCTTCGTAATATTAGTGTTCGTGTTATTGTTGATCCTCTTAGTCGTAGTAGCTACTTCGTCGCAGTAGTACTATAAAATTCATCAATGGTGGAAAAAGTCGTAGCAACAGTGTGTGCAATATCCATAGTGTTACGGGTATCGTTAGTAGAAGCATTAGTACTTTGTTTCGTAATAACAACAGTGGCGCTGTTATTACGAGTGTCAGCACGAATTGTTAATAGTAGAAATACGATTGACACCGTCACCGTCATCAGCATTATTACGACCGCTTCAAAGCATTAATAGTCTTAGTACCACGGAGAGGAGTAGTACTAACATTACCCGTAACATTAATCACATCAATAATATAGATATTACGATTATTTTCCAAAATCATAATGGCATAATCACTGATCATAATACGATTCGAATTGGTGGTCGAAGCAGTAGTGAAACTTCTATTGGTGGTATCAGCACAAATTCTAGCACGATGTTTCGTACTAGTAGTAGTAGTAGTAGTAGTAGTAGTAGTGGTAGTAGTAGTAGTAGTAGTATTAGTAGTAGTAGTAGTAGTAGTAGTAGTAGTAGTAGTAGTAGTAGTAGTGGTGGTGGTAGTAGTAGTTATACTAGTAGTAGCAGCCGTAGTGGTAGTAGAAATAATAGAAGTAGAAGTCGTAGTCGCAGTAGTAGCAGTAGTAGTAGTAGTAGTAGTAGTAGTAGTAGTAGTAGTAGGACTGGTAGTAGTAGTAGTACTACTACTACTACTAGTAGTAGTAGTAGTAGCAGCAGCAGTAGTAGTAGCAGTGGTAGTAGTAGTAGTAGCTGTTATAGCTTTACCATTAATATTACGATGGCAAGTGTTACTCGTCTTACGACTACTAATATGGTCCTCTTTAGTGCTGCTAGTAGTATGAGTAGTGTTCTCACTATTGGAAATAGTCCTCGTTCAACTATGACTAGTACTGCGACTAGTGGGCTGAATAATGAGGCTGTCGCTATTAGGGTTATGGTTAATATCATTATTACTAGCGGTAGTCGAGGTAGTGAAACAGGACACATCAGTAGTAGTAATAGTAGTAGTAGTAGTAGTAGGATCAGCAGCAGCAGTAGTAATGGTAGTGGTAGTAGTAGTAGTAGTACTACTACTACTACTACTACTACTACTACTACGACTACTACTACTAGTACTACTACTACTACTACTACTACTACTACTACTACTACTACGACTACTACTACTACTACTACTACTACTACTACTACTACTACTACTACTACTACTACTACTACTACTACTATACTACTACTACGACTACTACTACTACTACTACTACTAACTACTACTACTACTACTAACTTACTACTACTACTACTACTACTACTACTACTACTACTACTACTACTACTACTACTACTACTACTACTACTACTACTACTACTACTACTAGCGCGAGAGTATTAGTAGTAGCAGTAGCAGTAGTAGTAGTAGTAGTAGTAGTAGTAGTAGTAGCAGTAGTAGTAGTAGTAGCAATAGTAGCAACAGTAGCAGCAGCAGCGGTAGTAGTCGTAGCCGGAGTAGTAGTAGTAGTAGTAGTAGTAGTAGTAGTAGTAGTAATACGAGTAGTAGTAGCAGAAGTAGTAGCAGAAGCAGCAGCAGCAGTAGTAGTAGTAGTAGTAGCAGCAGCAGCAGGAGTAGTAGTAGTAGTAGTAGTAGTAGTAGTAGTAGTCGTAACAAGTATAAGAATAATGCTCCTCCTCCTCCCTTCCTCCTCCCCCTCCTCCTTCTCGTCTTCCTTCCCAGATTCATCTTCTCGTGAACTGTCCATACCTGAGTCAGCGACTATGGCGCGTGGCGTTCTTCCCTCCTCCTACTCCTCATCCTACTCCTCCTCCTCCTCGTCCTCCTCCGGCTCCTCCTCCCCATCGTCCTCGTCCTCCTCCCCATCATCATCCTCCTTCTCCTCCTCCTCCTCCTCCTCCTCCCCCTACTCCTCCTCCCCCTCCTCTCCTCCACCTCCTCCTCAGCATCGTCATCGTCATTCCCCGTGCCACTCAACGGCGAGGCGGTGAGCGCCTCCTGGGGGAAGCTCTGGGCCACCAACTGCGACGTGGGGTCTACGGTCACCTTGAAAACACCTGCCCCCCCCCAGAGGGGGACAGGGGGGACGAGAGATTGGGAGGAAAACGGAGAAGATGAAGATGGGGAGGAGGAGGACGACGACGAGCACAGCCCCCAAAAGGGGGAGACTCGCAAGTCTGAAACGGTAGCGGTGCCCATCAAAAAGGTATTTCTCACCCAGGGACGGAGCTCCCGAGACTGCGCCCTGAACCGCGACAGGGCACCGCTAACCTTCGGCCGCTCGACTCCCACGGGCGCGGATTCGCTCACGGAGTGCAACCGTTCGCTGCCCGTAGTCGAGAACAGCAGGATCGTCGGAACAGCAGTACGTAAACGGGTGGCCATTCTGGCCCTGGGTTGGACAGACAAGGCTCTGACACAAGCATCATGCTCAATGATCTGTCGGATTCCGCTGCTCGGTCCCAGGCCGTGGGCACACTTGCGCAACACCTCGACACACTTACGCGATGGCCTACCGCCAAGGGCACTCGAGGTTCCTGGCGCTGCGCTGCGCCCAGCACCCGCAACGAACACACAAACATTGCAACGTTGACTTCCTGGGTTGGCTCCTGTTGAGCGATCTGGGGTGGATCTCATGGGAGGCCACGCCAACGATCTGGTGCCCCAGGGAACGGCGGACGACACGGCGAACGAACGGAAGGGCCCCAGAGCACCTCAGGCAGTCTTGGCCACGACCGCCAGGAGGCAAAACTAAACATTGCTTGCGTTGGGTGCCAAGAGGGCCGCCCTCCCACTCATGCCACCCAAGGTTCACTCTGACCGATCGGTGGCGGGCAAAGGGGCGCCCCCTCCCGCTCTCGACCTTGAAGAGGGGAAGGACGGCGGCAACCAAAAGGACAAAATTGGGTACGGTCTTGGTCTCGGCCTCTAGCCGGGAGGCCGGCTCTGGACCGACCTGGGCACGTGTTTTGAGGGCCTCCTTCGCGTGAAGGTCAGCCTCCCTATTGCATCGCGCTGGCGCTCGCTGCTCGGGCGGCAGAGCATCGATTATCCGCACGCTCCTGTGAGCTCTCACATGGCCAGTGGAGTCCACGTAGCCAGAACCCCCTGGCGCATGGGCGAATGCTGCAACTCCCGCGAAGACCGCGCTAGCACGCAGCGGCTCACGCTCAGGGAGGAGGGTCTGGGAAAGCGCAGTTTTCCAATCAGCGTGGACACTCGAAGCTCTGTACACTCTGCGAAATGCTTAAGAAATCATGGGTTAAGAAACTCAGAGTCTTAGAATTTGAATAAAAACCCAGAATTTCTATTGAGATCTTAGGATTTACATTGAAACATTAAGAATAATCGAGACTCTGGCCAAAAACTTAAGTTCTCTTAAGCATCGCCTAGGGTGTACGCAGTCTGACAGGCAACGGCGATCCAGAAATGTTCTGCCATCGCGGGCGCCCGCGGGGAGCCGCCAGGAACTGCGCCACACGCACCGCGGCGAGGGTGGCCTCGCCCGCAGGGTCGAGCAGAAAGAAATGCAGAGCAGGGCGCACGCCGAAGACACTGAAGCGCTAGCATCGCGCTCGTGGACCCGAGCTTCGCAAACTTCTGAAGGGGCCCTGGGACGCACAAATAAATACACACAAATAAAAGGATTCCCCATATCTCCCCATAGTTTCTGGGATTTTTGTCTTCCCCACCACTTCCCAGGTGTTTCCTATTTCCCGGAAAGGGCGTAGGCCCAGGGTTCTCTTTTAGTATGTAAACATGTCCCTGGTGCCCAACTTGAAGGAGGCCGGCGGATTCTTTCCCTGATAAATATCGAGGTCGAAGGAGGCCGGCGGATTAAAATTTGAGGATGTCTCAGGCGAAACGCTTGTTTTTGAAATCCCGATCGATAAATCACAGGGTGCGGGACACCTCAGCACGACCACACCCCAGCATGACCACACCCCAGCACGACCACGCCCAGCACGACCACGCCCCAGCACGACCACACCCCAGCACGACCACACCCCAGCACGACCACACCCCAGCACGACCACACCCCAGCACGACCACACCCCAGCACCAGCACGACCACACCCCAGCACGACCCGATCGATAAATCACAGGGTGCGGACCACCCCAGCACGACCACACCCCAGCACGACCCCACCCCAGCACACCCCAGCACGACCACGCCCCAGCACGACCACACCCCAGCACGACCACACCCCAGCACGACCACACCCCAGCACGACCCCACCCCAGCACGACCCCCCCAGCACGACCACACCCCAGCACGACCACACCCCAGCACGACCACACCCCAGCACGACCCCACCCCACAAGACCACACCCCAGCACGACCCACCCCAGCACGACCACACCCAGCACGACCACACCCCAGCACGACCCCACCCCAGCACGATCGACACCCCAGCACGACCCCACCCCAGCAAGACCACACCCCAGCACGACCACACCCCAGCACGACCTCACCACAGCACGACCACGCCCCAGCACGACCACGCCCCAGCACGACCACGCCCCAGCACGACCACGCCCCAGCACGACCACCCCCCAGCACGACCACCCCCCCAGCACGACCACCCCCCAGCACGACCACCCCCCAGCACGACCACACCCCAGCACGACCACTCCCCAGCACGACCACACCGCCTTGGTTGAGTGGTTGCCTGTCGTCGTGGAATGTTTCGTGGGGTGTCTCGTGGAATGTTTCGCGGGGTGTCTCGTGGAATGTTTCGTGAGGTGTCTCGTGGAATGTTTCGTGAGGTGTCTCGTGGGATGTTTCGTGAAGTGTCTCGTGGGATGTTTCGTGAGGTGTTGCCCAGTTGGGTATCGTGAAAACGTGTCCATGCTCCACATGTCTATATCCCTTTCCGGGTTCGTGGGTCCATCATGTTTCCTGGGAGTCGAGGATGAATTGTGTCGCCGATGGGTTCGCCCCCCGCGCCTGGGAAATCACGGCGGCGACGAGGCGGCGAAGTCCGCGCCGAGATTTGCGACGCCGACGCCCCCGGCAGGGCTGAACCTAAACGGTGTGTGTGTCGTCGTCGTTTTGTTGTCGTTTTCCCTCGCTGTTGTCTCGAAGTCGCCTTTACCGCAAAACGAAGTCGACACGAAAACGGCCCACGAAATCACCAAAAACACTGTTCAGGTCCAGCCCTGGCCCCTGGCCTGTCGCCGTCGAGATCGATGCGCTTGACGACCTCATCGCAGAGCTTCTGGTCATCAGACAAAACAGCAAACTTACCACTCATTGAGCTCGGCAGGCAATCGACGCCACACGTCCGAGGAGCCAGAGCCAGCCTGGGCGACCGGAGGTGCCACGATCTCGCGGCGCTTGCTTGCCACGTGGAGCCCAGTGTCGTCGACGCACCCTATGAAACTCGATGCCTGGGCTGCGGAGAGGAAGTCGTCGCACTCGGTGATCGCGAACGCTCTCACCGCCAAATCGGCATACAGTCAAAAACCCTAATCAGGACGCGCGGTAAGGACGCAAGACCTTTGGAAGCCGAAGTTGGGATTGTCGGGGCGGCGGACGACGAAAACCCCAAGGACGCAAGAGCAAGGAAGAGCAAGGACCCAAGGGTACCCTGAGCAAAGTCGCGCGTCCTTATTAGGGTTTTTGACTGTATGAACAACCTGCTGGGAGGCCGCAGCGGGCAAACAACACCAGCCATCTGCGGTGCAATCAAAAACGCACGATGCGCGGTCACTGCCACGTGCTGTGCAATAGCTTCACCATTGACACTGTCATCCCACATGCCAGCATTCTGCCACGGAGAACCTCAAACGGAATGCCTTCGTGAAAGTTGCTGCGTTCCATGAGCAGGAGCACGCTGCACTGATCATCCTCAGTGGCCGCCTCAGTGCAAGCTGCCTGGGTCCACGCCAGGTCGAGCGCACTGCGACCAGCCACTGCGCCCCAGCAAGGCCTGACCAAGCGTCGGCGCAGGTCATCAATGCAAGCTCGGCGTAGCCGCTGCCATGCCCGATGCATCCCAGCATGGAGAATGTTGAGGCGGTGCCCCAGCAGTGTACACTCGTGGCATGGCGCTGCGGTCGGGTAACCGCGCACGGCCAGGCGTCCGGCGAGCTTGTCAGAACTTTCCGCACTTGCGGACCTTCGCGTCGACGATGTCACGCGCGCGGGCAGACAGGCCATCTCCCATGCTAACAACTGTACGATGCGGTGCATCACACACGCGCGTGGTGCGACGAAGGCCTCTGCTGCCATTGGCGGCGGCGAGGTTGCACCAGTCCCGCCAGCGCTGCCAGTCGCCTCGGGCGTCAGACCGACCGCCAGCTTGGACATCTGCAGCGATATCTTCACGTAGCTACTGCAGAGCCTACGCAGCTCGATGACAGTCAGCATGTAGTCCGTGCCAGGGCTCGCTGCCCACCCCCTGCGACGCCGCAGCCGACGGCCCCCGGCTCGCACGCGGGGTCCCCTTCCCCACGGGCAGGTCCACGACGCCCCTGGCATGGGAGCCGACACTGGGAGAAGACGTGAAAGACGGCATGCTGGACTGTGGCGGCTCTGCACAGCCCTCGCCAGGCCCACGCCCAGCCTCCCAGGACAACATATACTTCGAGAAGGAGCTCTCGGGCAAGAAGCTGGAGGGCTCCAGCGAGCTCGAGGAATAAGAGCTTCGACAACGCGAAGCCCGAGGACAAGAAGCTCAGGCTGGACTCCTGGCAAGGGCGAGCCCGAGAAGAAGCGCAGCGCAACGGCCTCATGCCCAGAGGCGTCGCCGAGCAGCATCATCGAGCCTCTCCTCCAGCGACCCCCTAAGACCCACAAGGGGGGTCGGCGCTCGAGCCCGCGGGGCAGGAGGAGGAGGAGGAGGAGGAGGAGGAGGAGGAGGGAGGAGGAGGAGAGGAGAGGAGAGGAGAGGAGAGGAGAGGAGAGGAGAGGATGAGGAGAGGAGAGGAGAGGAGAGGAGAGGAAGGAGAGAGAGAGAGGAGAAGGAGAGAGAGGGAGAAGGGAGAGGAGAGGAGAGGGAGGAGAGAGAGAGAGGAGAGGAGATGAGAGGAGGGAGAGGAGAGGAGAGGAGAGGAGAGGAGAAGGAGAGGAGAGGAGAGGAAGGAGAGGAGAGGGAGAGAGAGAGGAGGAGGAGGAGGAGGAGGAGGAGGAGCGAGGGAGGAGGAGGAGGAGGAGGAGGAGGAGGAGGAGGAGGAGGAGAGGAGGAGGAGGAGGGAGGAGGGGGTGTGGTCAGCCCGCTAGGCCCGCCAGCGCCGGGCGTCACGCAGGAGCGCGCGGGGCCTGAGCCTTCCCAGGGCGGTCCTCGGCAGCCCTGGCCTGGGAGCGCCCCGTCGGGGCACGCGTGGCACCAGGTGGCGACGCCGCACCACCCTGCGCTTCCTCCCCACTGAGTGCGCGATGCAGGTCGGCGAAAAGATCACCCATGGTGCGGGAGGAGGCAGCAGCGGGCGGCGGTGCATCACGTCGAGGGGCAAGGGGCCGCACTCCACGCGGTACACCTGCAGTAGGAACGCTGGCACGTCCAGCGGCGACCCTTGCCTCAAGGACAGCCGTGTCGAGCGACCAGACAAACCCTTCTCAAAGTAGCCCGTCGCCGCGAACGACTCGACTTCTGCCCCCGAACAGGCCTGCGTAATCTCCTGGCGACTGAGCACCGGAGCTAGGTTCGCAATTGCATGTTAGAGCCACTGCCCGAACAGGCCTGCGGAATCTCCTGTCGACTGAGCACCAGAGCTAGGTTCGCAATTGCATGTTAGAGCCACTGCCAGCCTCTAGCAATGGCTCAAGCAGCAGGGAAGGAGGAAGAGGAGGAGGAGGAGGAGGAGGAGGAGGAGGAGGAGGAAGAGGAGGAGCAGTGAGGGGGAGGGGGAGGAGGAGAAAGGGAGACGGAGGAGCGAGGAGGTGCTACGCGCTGCCGGCGCGCGCGCGCCGAAAGTCTTGGACGAGAACGCTCAAACAAGCATGCTCGGTAATGCGCATTCGCAAACAGCGGCTGCCGCATGAAGCCCGACCGAACAGAACCATTCAGGGACTGGAATAGGGGCGTAGACCCAACTGCCAGAACTCAAATGCACAACAGATGGTACAAATACGGCACAGCGGCTCGCTGCAAGTCCAAGAGGGTCTGGCACGTGGGGAGAATGACCTCTACATTGCGATCGTGATGGGAGCCGCGCCCAGGAAGCAGGAACTCTGCCATGGGGCGCTGCCAGCGCGATCATGCAAACGAAAAAAAGCACGGCCGAGAGCAGCAGAGGAGAGGGAGGAGGAAGGAGGGCGCGGAGGCAGGAGAGGAGAGGCAGGAAGAGCGAGAGGGGGGGAGGAAGAAGGGAGGAGCGAGGAGAGAGGACGAGGGGCCCAGAGGACAAGGCAGACCTGCCTGCCGCCGCGTTCGGGCAAGCGCCCGGCGCTTGGGCCGCGACGCCCTCCTCCTCCTCCGCCTCCTCCTCCTCCTCCTCATTCAGCAGCCTCTCCTCCGTCCATTCCTCCTCCTCCTCCTCTCTCTCCCCTTCCCCCCTTTTTTTGGAAGAACCGTCAGAGACTCCCATGACCCCCTCCTCCTTCTCCTCCTCATCATCCCTCCCCTCTCCTCTCCTCCTTCCTCTCCTCCTCCTCCTCATCCTCACTCCCTCCCCCTCCTCCTCACCCTCTTCCTCCCCCTACCCCTCCTCCTCCTCCTCCTCCTCCTCCTCCTCCTCCTCCTCCTCCTCCTCCTCCTCCTCCTCCTCCTCCTCCTCCTCCTCCTCCGCCGAGCGGCAGGCAGCACAGCGCACGGGGAGGGCGACGAGCGCGCAATGCGCAGCGGCCTCCGACGGCCCCCCTGGGCCAGGAGGAGCGGGGCGCCGAGGAGGCGAGGCCCGCCGCAGAGACGCCCGTGGGCGGGTGGCCCCGACAGCGCGGCCCGGCCCCCCCCTGCGGCGGAGGCCAGGTCCACGGGAAGCCTTCCACGAGGAGGCCAACCCTGAGACCCCAGGGCAGGAGAGCCCAGAATCGAATCGATGAATCGGATCGGCAATCGACATGAATCGGATCGGCGGAAATCGGCAGCCGAATCGGGAAAGGTCGAATCGGCGGAAATCGTCAAGCTAGTATGCCTCCAGTAAGAAATCGGAATCCAAATCGGAAGCCCAAGTCGAATCGAATCAGAATCGGAATTCATCGAAGTCGAATCGAATCGCCCAAGGGCGCCCATGGATCTCTGACGTGGGAGCGCCGTGCCTTCCATCGCAAGACCATCCAGGGCACCCTGGAGGCGAGCAGGGTGCTTCTCTGCATGGGCCCTCACTGTCAGAGCTCGCCGAGGCAGCTGGCGGGACACCGGCCGCAAACAAGCGAAAGAAAGGGAGCCAACGCGGGGCAAGCGACAAGGAAAAAACAGCGCAGGGCCAGACCCCGACTCCGAAACACCTCGTCCGCCGAGAGGGCAGCCACCACTGGCCGCCTCAAGCAGGCGAAGCGACGTGGAAATGACTCGGAGCTCGCGGGCCTACCCCCGATCCTCCTCCGAGAGGGGGGGGGCACAGGTAGTGCTGGGAAAACCTCCACCTCCTCCGAAGGAGCGCAGAGAAACTCTTGGCCTCCCAGACGCTATGATGAAAAATTGTTTGAATATCCCCGCGCCCCGCGCCCGAATCAAAGAAGATGTCGTTCCTGTTCGACGGCGCGGTGTTTTGCGCTCTCTTCGGAGACTTCACGAAGATTCTGGCACAGTCCCTGACGCGTGTTGAAACGATGTGCCGACGAACTGGCAAATCCATTGGCCCCACTTTCCTTGGTTACTTTGCAACGCGGCTCCTGGCCTGCATCTTGGACTAGTCACGGGCTTCTTTCTCCCGACAGACACAAATCTCGATCAAGAGCAGCCGTTTACCGCGACATGCACCTGCCTTCCAAATTCACAAAGGCAGGGATGTTCGCCAAAATGCGAGTACCATGTTTCGAAGCAGCGCAGCCATCTGACTGCCACCAAATTGTTTTCATCTCAGCGGCCGTGGTGATCGTCACGCCCTTGCGTACGCAGTGTGCCACTGGGTTTGGGATGTCGGCAATGGGCACCGGGTGTCGATTAACTGCTCAAATATTTGAGGATGAGCTGCTGATGACGACCTGCACTGCTGGAAAGTTTCTCCATGGGACATCAAGCAGCACTAACATACTCCAAGCGCGCCGCACGTCAACCATCGCTTCGCTCGGGGGGCTAACATATTCAGAGCCTGCGCAAATCGGGGGCGTCACAGAGAGGCGCGCCCAAGAGGTGGTTCGCAACTCATGGCCCGAGGCTCGCGCGCGGACGAGGCGGGGACGGGCGGACGTATTGAAAGAAGACGTGACGCCCATGAAACCAAGGGAAACTCCGCAGCCGCGGCCACGAGATCCACCCACCCCTGGTCATCACTCCCGTCGCTGACGCCTCCCAGAAACGAAAGACGCGCATCTCAGACAAGCTCCAACCGCACCGGGATGACTTGAAAATCCGCCGGCCCCCGTGCGGGGCCACCAAGCTGCAGGACGAAGCGTGCTGCTCCCTGCACCAGTTGCAGTTCCAAGTCTCCAATGTTACAGTCCTGGCTTCTGCTTCCTACCGTAAACTGTTGAAGTCCGCGCGAAGGGGAGCCCCAATCCAACCGGTTACCACGCCTTGATCGCGTGCTCTGAATTCCTGGGTGGGCGTGGGACACGTAAAAATACGTGAGACTCGCGCGCCCAAGCCATAATCCTTAGTAAATTGCGCAATGCTCGCGTCCCCGAAGCCATTAACCCTTGCAAATTACACCATATTCGCCCAACGATGGTTCCTAGACGGCCCCTCAGGGCTCCAAGAGCCAAGAGGCCCCAAGAGCGCGCCAAGAGGCCTCCCGAGAGAGCCCCATGAGGCCAAAATCGTTGATTGTACGAAGGTGTTTGAAGGATTTTGGCCTTCTCGCATTTTCACGGAAAGGGCCCAGGGTTCTCTTTTAGTTTGTTTCCCCCCGGTTTTGACTTGAGGTGGGCCGGCGAATTTCTTTTGCGATGAATATCCAGGTCGAGGCGGGCCGGCGAATTTATTGCTGAGGATGTCTCGAGCGAAACCAGCACCTCGTGGACTGCCACCCTGTCAGACTTGTTCGGACAAGGCTCCACAGGAACGCCCAAGCGGCCACGTGGCCTCGCGCAGGCGCGTGGCCGCTGATAGATTCGGCTCACAGCTGCGCCTGCTGACATGCCCGCTGTGATTCGTTATGAAGGCACGCTCGTAGAAGAGAAGGAGCGGGGGCGGAGGAGGGAGGAGCACGGAGGGAGGAGACAGGGAGGGACGAGGCGAGCGAGGAGCGGGAGGAAGCAGGAGCGAGGAGCAAGAGATGATGGCCAATTCTCCACCACCGCTACCGCAGGTTGGACGGGGGAGAGGGGAGCATGGGGAGGTGCCCTTCCTCCTCCTCCTCCTCCTCCGCCCTCTCCTCCTCCTCCTCCTCCTCCTCCTCCTCCTCCTCCTCCTCCTCCTCCTCCTCCTCCTTCTCTTCCTCCTCCTCCTCCCTCTCTTACCTATGGCAGCGGTGGTGGAGACTCGGCCCACCAAGAGGGGCTCCCCGACCCGCCTCGCCTGGGCAGCCCTCCTTCTTGCCTCTTCTGCCGCCGGCACCGCCGCCCTGCGAGAACCACGGGCGCGGCCAGAGGGGAGCGCGGCCAGGCCGGACGGGATCCGAACAGAACATGCGGGCAGCACCGGGGAAACAGGGAAGGCATGATGGTGATAGGACAGGCCCCCCTTGGTCCCGAGCGAGGGAACGTCATCAGATGTCTCGCGGCCCACTCGATCCGAAGGGCCGCGTCTGTAGCCTGCACACTTCTCCATTTTGCACTGCGGAAGGGAAGGAGGAGGAGGAGAAGGGGATGGGGATGGGATGGGATGGGACGGACGATGCGAGAAAGAAAGGCAACGGGGACACAACTTCTTTCGGTATCGAGAACACTCACGGTGCAGATGCCGGGCTGCCCCGCGTTCTAGAAAACATGGGATAGACGACAGCTCATCCTGAGGGGATGATTGGTGGCGGCGTGGCCATCAAACAAACCCGCCGTCTCTCTCTTGTTCCCAACCATCCTGTGGTGTTGGGTCCTCGTTTTGAAGAGACGGTGCCCCGCGTCTCCTTCCTCCTTCCTCCTCCTCCTCCTCCTCCCTCCTCCCCCTCTTCCCTGCGCTTCACCCACCCAGTACAGCGCTTCGTAGCCCCATAGGAGTATCCATCGCCGACCGCGTCCCCACGTGCTGCCCGGTACCGCCGTTCATCTGTCGTTCCCTCACACCCATTTCGGCCACACCCCCTCACCGTTTCGTATAGGCCCCCATAGGGACGCTCCACCGAAGAGGCCCACATGGCTGATTCTTCCGCATGCGTCCCGACCACACCATTTCGGCACACCCCTCACACGTTTTAGTGGCCCCACAGGCGAGCTCCACCGAAAGGGCCACAGTGCCCTGCCGTGGGAATGCGTCCGCACACCCATTTCGGCACACCCCTCTCCACGATTCTGGACCCATAAGGAGCTCCAACCGAGGCCCCCCATGGCTTGCCGTCCGCATGCGTCCGCACACGCCCCAATTCGTGCCAAACCCACATCGTTTCGTGGCCCCATAAGGCGCTCCGCCGCAGCCCCCGTGGTGCCGTCCGCCATGCGTCCCGCACACCCATTTCGGCCAACCCCTCAACAGTTTCGTGGGCCCCATAGGAGCTCCACCGAAGGCCCCATGGCTGCCGTCCGCAATGCGCCCGCCAAACCCATTCTGGCACACCCCTCACACGTTTCGTGGCCCCATAGGGAGCTCCACCCGAAGGCCCCAGTGGCTGGCCCGCATGCGGTTCCACCCCCCATTCTGGCACACCCCTCACACGTTTCGTGGCCCCATAGGGAGCTCCACCGAAGGCCCCACTGGCTGCGCCCGCATGCGGTTCCACCCCCCATTCTGGCACACCCCTCACACGCTTCGTGGCCCCATAGGGAGCTCCACCCCGAACCTTGGCCCAGTGCTCGACCGGTATTCACGCATCTTTGCGATCCCGCACACCCATTTCGGAACACCCACCCACACGTTTCGTGGCCCATATGGAGCTCCAACGAAGGCCCCATGGCTGCCGTCCGCACTATCACCTGCGTCCCGCAACCCCATTTGGCACACCCCGCCTCACACGTTTCGTCGGCCCCACAGCGCAGCCCTCCACCGAAGGCCCCAGTGCTGCCGTCGCCGCATGGCGTCCCGAGCGTCCCGCCAACCCATTTCGGCACACCCCCTCACCGTTTCGTGGCCCCATAGGGAGCTCCACCGAAGGCACCCAGGGCTCCGCGTCGCATTTTTATGCGTCCCGGCACAACCCCCCCCACACCCAATTCGGCACACCCCTCACACGCTTTCGTGGCCCCATAGGGAGCTCCACCGAAGGCCCCAGAGCCGCCGCCCGCATGCGTCAGCCACACCCAGTTCGACACACCCCTCACACGTTTCGTGGCCCCATAGGGAGCTCCACCGAAAGCCCCATGGCTGCCGTCCGCATGCGTCCCGCACACCCATTTCGGCACACCCCTCACACGTTTCGTGGCCCCACAGGGAGCTCCACCGAAGGCCCCAGTGCTGCCGTCCGCATGCGTCCCGCACACCCATTTCGGCACACCCCTCACACGTTTCGTGGCCCCACAGAGAGCTCCACCGAAGGCCCCATGGCTGCCGTATTCCTCCCGCTATGCGTCCTCCGCACACAATTCGGGGCACCACCACAACAAGTGTTTCGTTGGGCCCCACAAGGGAGCTCCACCGAAAGGCCCCAGTGCTTTGCCCGTCCGCATGGTCCCGCACACCCATTTCGGCACACACCCCACTCACCCTCACCACGTTTTCGTGGCCCCAATAGGGAGCTCCACCGAAGTGCCCCATGGCTGCCGTCCGCATGCGTCCCGCACACCCATTTCGGCACACCCCTCACACGTTTCGTGGCCCCACAGGGAGCTCCACCGAAGGCCCCATGGCTGCCGTCCGCATGCGTCCCGCACACCCATTTCGGCACACCCCTCACACGTTTCGTGGCCCCATAGGGAGCTCCACCGAAGGCCCCATGGCTGCCGTCCGCATGCGTCCCGCACACCCATTTCGGCACACCCCTCACACGTTTCGTGGCCCCACAGGGAGCTCCACCGAAGGCCCCAGTGCTGCCGTCCGCATGCGTCCCGCACACCAGGTGTGTGGCGTGCCGACATGGGCGTCGCGGCGCGCGGGCGCTGCCGTCGGGGTTCCCAGGGAAGCCCCCTGCAGAGGCGACGCTCAGAGTCACGAGTACCGAGAGTCACGCAGACCCAAACTGTTCACAGTCGTATACATACATTACACTGGGCGTATCCATGCACGCATTCATGCGAATAGAATCAATCGCGCGCAGATTCATTCATAATCAGACTCGCTCGCGATCCGACTCGCACGCGCTCAAGCTTTCATATTCGGACCTATCGTCTTCGTTCGTGTTGTGTACACTGCCACGCATTTTGGCACACCCCTCATACGGCTCGTGGCCCCATAGGGAGCGCCACCGAAGAAGATATTCACAATTGCGGTACTCTCAACTGCATATGGTTGGGTCCTTCGCCAGGCTATTTTTTCTCTCTCTCTCTCTCTCTCTCTCTCTTTCTCCATTTCTATATATCTCTCTCTCTCTCGTCTCTTTCCCTGTCTCCATATCTCTCTCTCTCTCTCGCTCTCTTCGGCGATAAAAAAGGAACGCGCACATATCGACCCCGTCAGATACAAAATTGTGAATGACCACCACCACCACCCGTTCTATCCGAGCAGCCACGTCCGTCTTATGCACTCTTCCATCTATATCTGTGAACAGTCAGGCTTCTGAGGTTGCCACATCGTCATTCCGACTATCAGGGGTGCAGATCGGTCTAGAGACTGGTCCAACATATATAGGGGAATGGTGGATAGGGCGAGCACGTCGCCGCCCCCTTAGGATGAATGGCGGTGAGATGGCCATGGTTATATTCCTTCTTGGGAAGAATGAATTCATGTGGGAATATGTCCGCATGCCGCCTGAGCGGAAACTAATGGCGAGGCGACCCACCCATCCCCGTTACCAAACGGACTGTCCACAGCTTCTGAGCACCTCGGGACACATACATACAGTGGGTCCGTGCTACTGGGTCAAAGCCCCCTCCTAAACAACGAGAGGCTCGCGCTCTCGAACAAAATATCATTGTGTTCACCCAGGATCTAAACATGTGCTTGCCTGAATGAACCCCAAACATGAGATTGTTGCGTTCTGGATGTGTACTACAAATGACACTGTTCGTGGTACAATAAATGTGGTGCAAGCTACGTGGTGCAGGCTATATGATGCGATCATTTCCGTTTGCGGTTGTGCTGTGTGCTGTGTGGTGTGACAAATGATGTGTGTGTGTGTTGTGTGCTGTGTGGTGTGAGTTGTGTGGTGGGTGGTGTGTGTTGTGTGTTGTGTGCTGTGTGCTGTATGTCGCGTGATGTGTGTTGTTTGTTGTGTGATGTGTGGTGTGTGTCGTGAATTGTGTGTTGTGTGTAGTGTGCTGTGTGTTGTGAGGTGTGTGGTGTGTGTCGTGCGCTGTGCTGTATAATATGTGTTGTGTGGTATGTGCCGTGTGTCGTGTGGTGTGTGTTGTGTGTTATGTGCTGTGTGCTGTTGCTGTGTGGTGTGTGTTGCGTGTTGAGTGCGTGCGAGTGCGTTCGCGTGCGCGTGTGCGTGTGCGTGTGCGTGTGCGTGTGCGTGTGTGTGTGTGTGTGCGTGTGTGTGTGTCTGCATGTGTGTGTGAGAGAGTGTGCGTGTGTGTGTGTGTGTGTGTGCGTGCGTGTGTGTGTGTGTGTGTGCGCGTGCCTGTGTGCGGTTGAGTGGGTGTGTACGTGTGTGCGTGCGTGCGTACGTGCGTGCGTGCGTGCGTGCTGGCGTGTGTGCGTGCGTGTACGTGCGGAGTGCGCGTTAGGTGTGGGTGTGTGTGTGTCTGCGTGCGCGTGTGCGTGTGCGTGTGCGTGTGCGTGTGTACGTGTGCGTGTGCGTCGTGTGCGTGTGCGTGTGCGTGCGCGTGTGCGTGTGCGTGCGCGTGCGCGCGTTCGCGTGTGCCTGCGCGTGCGGGCGCGTGTGCGGGTGCGGGTGCGTTGCGGGTGCGGGTGCGGGTGTGGGTGCGCGTGCGTGTGCGTGCGTGTGCGTGTGCGTGTGCGTGTTCGTGTGCCGTGTGCGTGTGCAAAGTAAGTGTGCGTGTGCGTGTGCGTTTGCGTGTGTGCGCGTAGCGAGTGCCGTGTGCGGGGTGTGCGTTTTTTGCTTTTGTGCGTGTGCGTGCGCGTGAGAGATGTGCGTGCGCGTTATTGGTGATCTGTGTGCGTGCGCGTGCGCGTGCGCGTGCGCGTGCACGTCCAGCGGCGCATGCGCGTGCGCCTGCGCTGCCTGCTGTGCGTGTGCGTGCGGGTGCGTGTGTTGTGCGTGTGCGTTGCGTGTGCGATGTGCCGTGTGGGAGTGCGGGTGCGTGAGCGTGTGCGGTGTTGCGGGTGCGTGTGCGGGTGCGATGTGCGGGTGCGGGTGCGGGTGCGGGTTCGGGTGCGGGTGCGGGTGCGGGTGGAGGGCGGGGGCGGGGCGGGGGT